CAATTCAGCAATTCACATGCATGCAGCGACCTCAGCGGAAACCCCTGTCTGAACCCCTTTTCCCACAGGTTTCCCACCTCCCATTTCCACTCTTTTTAGACGGTGTTTTTTGACGTGGTTTTCTGCGATGTATTATTTCCTTTTGGTTGTCAGCAGCGGCTGTTGGCAAATTTCATTTACATTGGCATGCGGAGGGAAATTTCTAATAGGGGGTCGTTTATATAAAATGTATTTAAAAGAGCCTCTCTACCCTTAAAATACTTTTGGTCAGTAATTAATTTCTACGGAAAATTTATAATATACAAAATTAAAAATTAATGAAGTGCTTAGAATGGCATTATATTTTTTTATATTTTATAATTAAAATTCTATTTTTTACAATAATAAACTAGTTAATAAACCAAAAATAATTATAAAATAAGTTGTACATTCTAAATCTTAAGCTCAACTACCTTTGCTTGTTAGAATTTGTTTTCTTTGTTTTTGTAGTTAGGTATCCAAGTTTTCTTTCAGTGTACACATGCATCGTTTCGAGAGTTCGCATGGCTGTCCTTCAATACTCCCCCAAAACGGTGTGCCATTCAGAAATTCAGTGTTCCTGCCACCGCTTGGGGACTTCTAATATTAGTCACCCATACCGCAGAGCCACCTGTACCGTCTGCCACCCCTAAATGCGCCACCCCCCCACTGTGCTGCATGCGAGGCGGGCACAACAAGTTAATTACGGAGGCATGCAACTCGCAGTTGCCGCCATAAATTGTGCGGGCTTCGGGGACCAACTTGATGTGCAGCGTTTAATGAGTGTGCAAATGTTGGCCAGGAAAACGGGCTAAATTAAAAGGGGGCAAAGCATCCCAGAGGTGTGCCTTTAAAGTTTCCTCTAGTAAAACTATTCGATTGACAAAGTTGTGCGAATTCTTGCTGAACTTAAATTGTTAAACTCTTCACGGCAGGAACTCTTTCAGAGTGAAGCACTTTCCGTAGAAGTTTGGAGCCCCAGCGATAGAGATTCTTGTTGAAAGTATTTGCGCAGAGGAAATATTTGTATATTTTAGGGGCATCGATTTGGGAGCTCATTAATCGGAGATGCATAAAAAATGAGTGAAAGTTGGAATATTTTGAAAATTTAAAACTTAATTCAGGTTTCTTAGGAATTCTATTGCAAACGTTTTAAAACGAACAAAAATTAGTAAACTAATGAAAATATATATTTTGCAAATATAGGAGCAAATACTATATGTTTCCCTACTTAAGTAGTTGTATGTACTTAAAATCCTTTTCACCACTTCCTGATTCGCAATCCATTCCTTGCTCTTATTCTATTAATTACTTATACGCACAGTTAGCCCATCGCCCTAGAGCTTTTAATCCTGCCACGTGGCAGCCTTCGGTTCTTTGGTCCTGCGGACTCGTGAGGTGTCCAAATCCAGACATCAGGCGGGGGCATAGGAATTGAATAATTTAAACGGATAGATTACGGAAGGCATTTAGTGCAGGGGAGATGCCATAGCTTAGGTCATAACTGTAAGCTATTGCTTGCCCCCGGCTGATGAATATTCATTAGGTTTTCGGCAAATTACTTGCAAGCATGCAACACAATAAAAAAAAGTGCAACAAGGCGAGGGAAATTAGCGTAAAATCCGACCGAAACTGAACCATAAACAAAAACCCAACGCGCAGTTCCCGGACCCGCATATCAACTCTATATATACAAATATATATATAGTGAGCAAAAAGTTGCGAGTGTTTGTCATGTGCCAACACTTCCAACTGCTTTGGTTTTCGTGTCTGTTTGTGTGTGTGTGTCTGTGTGTCTATGTGTGTGTGTGGGGCAAAAAGAGGGTAGAGCAGACTAATTTGCGCATAATTAAATATAAATTGTATGCGTCATTGTTTGTTTTGCTACAAGCATTGGGCGTAAATATATTAAAGAAATTGCTGTTCTTCCAGCACGTTACGTATGCGCCATGTATGCCGCGCAGTTCCAACTGCAGTTGTGTTTTATTTTCCTTCGTTTCTCGTTAATGTTTTGTTTTTTTGGTCAATTTGTCCTTTTTGCCACCGGCAAGTGACAGGTTGCAGCCAAAGGCGGCAGATGAGGGCCAAGTGGGCGGCTGAGGATTCGAGTTTAAGGGGCAGCTGCAGGAGAATTGCAACGTTTTGGCAACAGCACAAAGAAAATGTAATTATTTACGCTCTTGAGCAGGCGACGGCGTCAACAACTTCCTCCCCCTTCCCCTTCCTCTTCTTTGCCATCATCGCCTTTTAGCCCCTCGAAGCCGTTGTTGTCGCGTCAACAGCAATTTATTTGAGTGTGAAAAAGATGAATTAATTTTACAGCATTGTGCAGCACAATTAAAAATTATTTGCTCTCGGCCCCCGCATCACTTTGCTTTGCTTTTGGGCCCAATGTCACAACTGGCCCGGAGCTTAATTGCTGCAAAGTTGTTGTGGCTTAGCCGGTGGGGCGTGGCAGTGGGCGTGGGCATCTTGCTGGTAATTTCAGGGTGGCAATGCCATTGTCTACACAGCACAAAAAACTACTTTTGAAAGAGTAAAATAAGTTGACCGATTTTGGTTAATTATTTTAATGGAAAGTCTTACAAATTTTCTGATAAATAAATTAAACTGCTACCTTCTGTAACAGATATAAAAATCAAAAATATAAATATAATAATACAATAAAAACGTTTTTTTTATTATTTCTTTTATTTATTTTTTGGAATTTTTCATCTTCTCTAATATTTTCCTTTAGTGTAAGCTACGTTTGCTCACACTTTCTTTCTGGCGTCCTGCAGCAATTTATGTTTTGGGCCTGGTCCACCGATTCGGGTTTCAGCTTTTTTTGGGCCCCTTTTAGCCCCCTCTCGCTCTGGCTTCTGTTGTCGTCCCGCTTGCTCCTCCATTGTTTTGGCCTTTGTTTGTGGTTGATGATGAGAAAACTTTTTGCCTGGCAGGCAGGCAGGCAGGCAGCTGAAGTGTTGGCGACGTTGACGGCGAATGTTGGGCATGTTTTATGCATTTTCTTATGACTTTACTTTTGGCGTAGATTTGTGCGTGGCCCCCCACCAAACGTCCCACCTCCCTATCGCCCACAAAAACCATCCCGCAGCCCGGAGAGTGTGAATTATTATGTACATTTCAAATGTGCAACAACAATAACGAGAAACAACTAAAAGCAATGCCGTAAATTTGTTTTCCTGGCAAGTGGACAAAGACCTCGGGGACAGCGTGAGTCCTGGCCAAAGAGGAGAGGCGGAGGGAGGCGGTCCTGTCACTCAGGAGATGTCCTGGCACACATAAAAACTATGACCCGCTTCCGCGCTGCTGTAAAGTTTTTTCGGTAGGCGTTCTCCCTGGCACATTTGTCATTTTGGCCCGGCCAAAATGAACTCTTGCGGGGCGGGGCAAATAACTTAATTAAAGTAAATGTGTTGCGGGACATAAGAAGTTGTAATTAGTTGGGCGTGGCTTTGAACAATATTTACCATCGAGTTGGACCATAACTCTTCAAGGAGATGGAGAAGTTTGGGGAATGGAAATGTATTATGCAGATTGTTGAAACTTATAGAAATATGGAAATATGAATAAGGAAAAACTTTTCCAGTGATAATTGCTTTTTTTAAATATATTGGAAAAGCACGATTAATTTATTTGTTTTATAAAATGATATTAGAGTATTTAGAGAAATATTGAGAGCATTTATATGAAAATCATTAATGTTTTTTCTCGGCTAAGAGAATTGTGAAAAATTAAAGAAAAATTTCTTGTTCCGTTTTGCGGCTAAAAAGATGATGAGTAAGTAACTTATTTCTGTCGCCAACTGTCTGATATTTCTTGGTTTTCCTTTGTTTTTTTTACTTCTTCGTTTTGTTACGTTTTGCTCGTTGTCTGCTCGAGTTGACTTCCTTTGCACTTTGGAAAGAAGTTTTGAAAAACAGGATTTAACAACGGAAAATTACATTTAGCACAGGACGCGACATGCTGCCTCTTCCTGTTTCCTTCGAGGGAAAAGAAAATACGGGGAAGCGCAACAAATGGAAAGAGTGGGCCTGGTCAAGGAGGCATGAATAAATGAAATGCGCTAACTTTCCTGGCCTCAAACAAAGGCGAACTAAACGCGGATGTAAACGTGCACTTCCCCGTCTTCTCTCCACTTCCCAAAAAGTTTACCCCTGGGGAAGTGTAGGGATAAAAACTTGAAATTCACTTCCGTTTCCGGCCAAGGCTGATTGAGTTCTTTAATAATGCATTCGTGCGCCGCCTCCTTTCGCCGAAATGTTAATTGACAACGAAAACTCGGGGACCACGAGTCGAAAATCTCAATGTCTCTATGGAAAGATTGTTGCTGTTAATAGTTTTGAAAAGTTATCAAAATTAATGAATCAACCATGACGCGCACACCCAAACACAAACACACACACACACACATTAACCCCTAAATGACGTCATAAAAACATGGAGCAGGATGCCGCTTTGGGGACCCATATCCAGGCATTACAACATTGTAAAACATGAAAATGTTATCATTATAAAGTAGAAAAACGTCGCGAAAGGGAGCGGAAAATTCTAGCTTTTGTTGTGGGTGTCAATGGGGTGTTTTTGGGTATTTTGGTGGGTGTGTTTGTGAAGCAGATTCTGTCATGAATTAGCACAAAATTCCCTTCAATTTTCTTAAGACCGACATCTTTCTTTAGATTCTCCATGAAGACGCCTTCGATGTGTGTGGGAAAAACTTTTAAATACATTACACATTCTCACTGCTTACATACGATATATGTGTCAGGTCATTAAGTTCACATTACTCATACTATTTATGAGAGCTGAATACAAGTATGCTTAGCCAAAGAAAGTCAAGGCCTTTAAATGAATAACGAACTAGTTTGTCGAAGTCTAGATTGGGCTTTAAAATTAGTAATTGGTGGTCTCAAAAAAACCTCTAAAATCTAAAAGTCAGTTATTATATATTTGCTTATACTGTCAACTATGAGACACTTTCTTTAATTTCCCTAAAAATTAACAATCGAATATAATAAATTCTCGAATAAAATCATTAAAAAAGTATTCTATTTCGATCTTAAAATTGTAAAATGTATATCCTACTAATTGACCCAACACATTTCATAACAAAATTTAAATAATGACATCGTATGTAGTAGCCACGTTATGTGTTGTAACTGCAACATCGGGTTTTATAATCGGTGCTCTGACCCAACAACATATGTCATACAGAAAAATTAAAGCTACCATGGTTGACAATCCATATGTTTACGAATGCCGCCAACATATCTTTAATGCCGTAAGTTGTATTCTGAATAATAAAATTTAAAAAAACAGACCTCTATTTTAGTTAGCTCTCCTCGGATGTTCAAAAGAGGATTCCAATTCAACTACCCAAACTGAAGTGACAGATAAAACTGGCTTTAACAGTAGACGAGCATACGAAAATCAAGGGAGTGGTAGTGGAGAATCTTTATTTGAACAATTCGCACTGTGGAGTCGGACAAAAGCGTATAGAGCAGTGAGTCGAATTTAAAAACGAGGCATTAAAGATTGTGACTAAAAGTTGTTTAAGTTTTTGTTCATGACCTTTTCCTCAGGTCAAGAAGGCGACCAACAAGAGGAAATAGCCCATGTAGCTGGTATTATGAAGTATGGCTTTCCGGGAATGGATGAAATACATGTCTATAAGAATTATGTACTTTCCTACGATCGGAGAAACCGAATTGCCCACTGGGTGTGTGAGCACGTGAAAGACGACTGCTTATTGACTAGAGATCTTAAGACGTTACATAAGCCAGATATTTATACAATAGATAGGACGATAGATCCATTGTTTAGTGCGAATATGAGGGACTTCAGGAACAGTAGTTGGGTTGGAGGTCATTTGGTTTCCCCTCAAAACTATAAATGCGATATGGAAAAGTTCATGGAGGCCTACAAATTTCCAAGTATTGTGCCCATTAATCGTGGTCTCAAGAATCATATATGGCTACGTTTGGAAAACTATGTTAGGGAGCTGGCCCTGAAATGGGGTTCTGTGTATGTGTACACCGGTCCCTTATTTATGCCACAAAGAATCACCTTTCGCAACTGGTCCATTCGTCATCACGTAATGGGCATGAATACGGTTGCAGTGCCAACTCACTTTTTTAAAATTATCATAAGAGAACATTATTTCGAGGACGCGGAACCCCTAATTGAAGGATTTGTGGTTCCCAACGCTGAGGTCGACAAGGAAATGGATCTGCGGTCGTTTTTAGCCGACGTTCGGGATATTGAGCACTTCGCGGGACTTAAATTCTTTGAAGGTCGGCAGCGGGATCAAGTAGATATATCTGTACACCGACCATCGATGACCGATTTTCGAATCGCAGCAGATTAATTCAAGGAATGCTTATAGTTACTAATTCGATTGTGGACAAGATGTTCTGTATTTATAAATGTAAGAATTTTAAATTAAAACGTACAATATAACAAAGTCGACAAAGAACTAAAATACATGTTAATTAATATGATTTGGCTTACCAAATTCTTAATTTTATTATAGACATAAAAAAATATTTAACTTCCAGCTTATAAAAAAGGCAATCTGGTTTGGGGATGTGTGTAGATCTTGCCCCATAACATCCAGCTAAACGGTATTTCACACGCCCCCTGTTTTACACAGGCAAGTAACGCCCCCTCTTGGCATTCCCCCACCCCTTGGTTTGCCACCACCACTGCGCTAAGCAAAACAAATGAGTTAAAGGGTTTTTACTTGCTAACTGGCAGCGCCACCAACCACCAACTACCAACTGGCAAACGGCAACTCATTGTTCACGGTCTGGTGGGCAGTCGGCGCCCCTTTTCGAGGCAACCGGGCCCCTTGGCTTTTCGAGGAGCCGGAGACCCCGGCATAATGGCCCCAACATAATGTGCACATTAGTGTTCGCACATTTATAGATGTGTCTATGTGTGTGTGTGCTGCATGTTTACGGCTGTCTCTGTGTGCGCGCTTAAAGGATGAGCGGCCCAAGGAGGTGGCACGGAAAGGAGCACAAGGAGCAGGAGGAGGAGTGAAAAAAATCACAGAAAATATGTGGCAGAGAATCACGGCACATGTGCAACAGTAACGAGAGGAGTGGAGCATAAGCTCCTCCACAGCATCCGCAGCATTTGTGAGCTAATGACATTATAAACATGAAAACTCCATTAATATTTTTTTGCTGTTGATTATGATGTTGCTGCTACTTTTTATGGTCGGCGTTACTCCTTTTTTTGTTCCTCCAGTTGCAGCGGCTGCCAACAGAAATTTTCACTCTTTTAGTCTGGTTTTCCATCGGTGTTTTCCTTTTTCCCATTCTTTATTTTTGGTTACAACATAAGCATATGAATAGGCCAAGGGGATGCGGCAACCATTTCTCACACTTTACCTTGGTTTTTCCCATAATTTATTTGATTTATTCGCACGCACCGCACGCCGTTGCCGCTGACAAGTAACTTGGCCAAGTAACTTGGTCTTCAGCTACCGCTTTTCCAGCGCCTTCGGGCTGAGCAGAGCTCTAAAAGTATTTTGATGCTTGACAATTTTTTCAAATTAAAGAACAGCTAAAAAAAAAACGCCAGCTTCTTGCTGCTTAACTCACTTATGCGGTGCTACCTGTGCCACATGTGATGATGTTGCCCCACTTGCCACATCATGCGTTACAAGTAAGCGTGTATGTGCTGCATACTTGATGCCAACCTCTGCATGAATGTGTGTGTGTGGGTGTGGGCCATTGGCCGAGGATTTGATCAACAGATTATGGTTTACTTTATAGCCAGGTAAATTTGAAAAGCCGCTTTGGAAACTTAAGTGATATTTGAAAGGCAGAAAATGCAGTATTAAATACCTAATGGAAAAAAATAAATATAACTAGCATGTTACTTTTAATATAAAGTCAGCAGTTGATTTTAAAAGCTTTTCCATTCTCTTGTAAAAGCCTAATAAAATTGTAATATTTTTCTGACCAAGAATGCTGGGCTTTTCGAATTTTTATTGTCGGTGGTCCGAAGGCAGATTTCATTGGCGTTTTCATTTAATTTTTATTGGATTTCTGCGCAGTTCGCTGCAGTTGGCGAATCGCTTCTGTCTCTTTTCAGTGCACATGCAATAAGTTGCACTCCATTAAGCGGTTTTTAATATAAAAATCCAGGCAGGGAAAGCCGGCAATCGTCGAAGATCTTTGGGCTGAAAGCAGTTACATTTTCATTGGGGGTATTTTCATTTCTGTTTCTGTTTCTGGCAGCCCTTCGAGGAGTTGCCTTAGCGTCGTCGATAATGGCAATTGAGTGTTGCATTTGCCTTGATTTGCTTTTGGCTTGGATTGGACTTGGATTTCGCTATAAGTTTGTGAGTTTGTGGCCCTGCGGATCTGTGGACTCGCTGAGGCGCATTTCGCATTTGGCATTTTGTTTTTATGCCCGCTAAGCTTTTGTTTGCCTTCGCTATGCTCCGCTTGGCTTGGCTGGCTTTTACCCGGCTGCAGTTGCAGTTGCAGCTGCTTTCTGTTAGCGGCTTACGCCGGTTTCGATGCCCCGATTGGCTGCACTTTTAGCCCCCTCTCCCGCCTCAAAAACCCCCTTTCCCCCGCTGGCCAAAAGTAGGGAGCCTGGCAGCGTTTGAGAAATGTTATAGCGGCTTAGGGATTTGCGGTTTTGTGTTATTGCTCCTGCCACAACCGCTGAGTGCCTTTGGGCGATGACTGCCGCCCTGCTTTTGTCAATTTGCTTGGCGCTTTCATTGCGATTTGGCGCTCGCAAAGCCACATTGCACATACGCACTGTTGCCGCAGGACGGCAACGAAAAGCCCCAAATGAATTCGATTTCCGCCATTGGCTGATGCACTTACTCACCGACGGCTCAGAACATTTGTTGCGCCCTCGCAAAAAAAGGGCTTTCATTTGAAGAGCAGCTCGAAATTAATCAAGACTGGTTTTATTTTGAATTGAGTGCACAGGAGATTGCTTTAAGTCTACTTGTTTGTGGAAAGGTACTAGATTTAGCTTATAAGGGAGAAACAAGGAAATATTACTTAATCTTTTTTACAAGCAATGCCACTTTCTAGCTTTTGTCAATTATAAAACCCAACACGCAATATCAAAAGAAAGGAGTTATGAATGAGTTAAGTGCAAAGATACGGTTTCAGTTCCAGATTGCTGTATTCCTCATCACCTGGTCGTGATAACTCCGACGCATTGCGCTAACCACAAAACGGAACATTAATGGACTTGAGAACCTGGCAAGCTGCTCTCTGCATGCGGTCAAGGGAGTCAGCAGGAGCATCATCAACAACATCAGCATCGTCAGCAACATCGGCAACTCCAGTGGCAACATCAACAGCTGCCACATCTGCCACTGCAGTAATTGTTATCGCTTCTTGCTGCTGCATTGGATTTCGGTCTCATGATCTGTGCGAAAAACAACTTGTTGTCTATTTAGAAAATAGCTGGCACTGGATATTTTTTTATAAGCTAAGTCCGCATGTTAATATGAGCTTAGTTTATAATAGGTGAAATTAATTGATGGCTAAATTTGTAAGGCTTAAATAATTTAAAATGTTTTCAATAACACGCAATGTTAATTTGGGAGAATTATTCATAATATTCGGTTGCTGTAGGCTTTGCAGTTTTTAATTGTAACTGGTATCTGGGTATAAATTGGTACGTTATTAAATAAATAAATTGGAAAAAAGTATGCAAATGAAATTTAGTTAAGTACTACTAATAGGTTTGTGATAAATTATTTATGAATCGATTTTAAGAGTCCTCCTAAATATGAACTTATGTTGCAACTAGACTTGGATTGCAGATGCATCGAAAATTCAATCATTCCGGCAACAAAGCTGAGGAAGCCTAGCAGTTGTCCAGAAGCCCCCTTTTTGTATGCCCACCCCCCTGAAATCGTAGTCCCCCCCCTTCGAATGTCCCGCCCAGCAGGTCACTTATATTTCAGCACTAAATGCTGCACAACACAATTCATTTTTGTGCAATTTCCCGCTGTGCGGCAAGCTGACACTCGCCCACGCCACACAGCCGCCATATAGCATTTTTATTTTTTGGTATTTCGACTGGGGCTTTTTTCTGCTGACCGCCTTTCTGGCTTTTTGGCCAGTTTTGAGCTGCTGCAATAGCTGCTTGAGCTGCGGTTAGCTTTGGTTTGGCTGCCGGTTTTTGGTTTTTATAGCGGGCTCTGCTGTTTTTTCCCTTTTTTTTTCCTTTATTTTTCTACATCCCCTCGTATTCATTTTGGTTGTTTTGTTATATATATTTACAGAGCTTATCTTTGACCACACGTATGTTGGCAGAGCAAAATTGTTTTTGAAATTGAAAAATTGCAATACAAGCTGAGCTGGGGGTCCGGTCGTTGCAGCCACTAGTGGTGAATGTTCGGGGGACGCTGTAATACAAAATAATGCGAGCCGAACCCCACCGTGACCCCTGACCTCGGCACTCTACTCTCGGCCAAAAGCGCGGCATTTTTCTTTTGGCTTTTAGTTTTGCCTTGCGCCCATTTTTTGTATAGCTTGCCGCTTGCTTTTATTTTCTTTGTTTAGCATTTTCTTTTTTTTTTGCTCCGCCTTTTTTGGTTTTTTTCTAGCAGTTTTCCTTCTTGTTTTGCTATGAAATATGCAGTCAGAAGCGGAGAGCACAGTACGAAAAAATGCTTTTGTACGTTGGCATCTTTTTTATACATACATATATATATTTCGGTCTTCCTTATTTTTTGTGTGTGTGTTTTTTTTTTTTCAAGGATGCTGCAGGTGCTTGGGGTGCATCTGCCCAAAAGTTATGCACATATTTAAATAAAGTACGTCGAATAAAAAAGAAGATAGAATAATAAATAAATGAAGACCCGGACAGACACAATGTAATGATTATTGCGTGGGTGCCTTTGCAGCATTTTTTCCGCGGATAAAAGACTTAAGATCGAAATGTACTATGTTTCATATAGTAAGTTTATTTTTGGATTAATAAAACTGATATTAAATATAGTTTGTTTACTTCATCCATCTATACTTCATACTCGATAAAACATTTTTAAAAATATCACCAAAAATACATTTGATTAATCTTCGACCGTATTTAACCCATAAATAGCAAAATAAAATTTGCAACAAATTTTTTGACACATTTTGGTGTAAACATGGGCACGAACATTTTGTCGCGTCGTTCCGTCTAAAATGGCAAATAAAATCAGCAAATAAATGAAAAGCCTGACAATTTGTTGATGGTTTTTCGACGCCGAGCGGAGGTCCTGGCTTAGATGGAAATTAATTTCCAATGTTTTCCTGAATCACTATCTCCGTTCATGTGTGTGCCATGGTGTTTGTGTGAAAATAGAATAATTTTAATTACGTTTGGCTGCATGGAAAATTGGAAAATTTCCCGCAAAACGAAAGCCGATGTGAGTCGTTCATAATTATGCAATGCGAGGATTTTCAAGCGACGTTAGCCTAACCCATTGCG